GCTGTATTGATCCAGAGGTATTTGTGCATAAATCAGGTTTTAAATTGCTTACAGTAAATGGAATTTGTACATACTTGATGCATTGCTTTGTTCTAAATTGCATTCTCCCTATGGTGTTGAATAATTCAGAGGATTAATAATTCAAGACTATTCCCTGCATTTTTCTGGAACGTTGCAGTGGAGACAATAGTTTTTAATGATCCACTTTGAAATAGAAAAGAGGCTAAATGTCATTAATCAAATCATTGAATCCCTGAAGTTCAAGTTTATTTTCCTTGATCTCCACGCAATTGCTTGGTTTTTTGTTTGTATATAATTACTAGCTTTACTAGTGAGCCAGTAATCTCAAAACAAAATCTTAAGATTTATTCATTTTAGTTTTTAAAATGTCTTTTACTCCCACTGGTATGAACTACAAACTGTGTTTAAATTTCACAATGTCAATGATGCCAATTTTTTAAAAAATTCCAAGAATCGGATCAAACAATAAAGTTCACTTCAGGCTTTGACATGATGAATGAGCAATCCTTCCATTTAGCTTCAATCAACCAGTTTTATAAATTTATAACAAAATAAAGGTTTTCTGTAATGGTCAAAGGAGAATTTTAACTGTCAAAGATCCAGTTGTGCAATGTGGTCCATTTACATTGGACACATGATGTCAAGTAAGGTACAAAGTGTTGTGAAAATAGTAAAATTCTGATTCTTTGAATAAGATTGATTTGTAATATAATTAACTACAGCTTTCATGTCAGTCACTTCATGAGGAGAAAGTTTGCCTGCAATTCTATACTAAATTTTAACTATGGACATAATGGGAGCTATAAAGACCTTTAAAAATGTAGGGTAAAATTGTACAAAGAATAGCACACTCCAATGTCACTGTTTGGACTTTTTGCTTTTTCTGAGGGTATGGTGCCATTAGTAACTCTCCTAAAACAGATCGTAATGCGTTTGTGAAGAAAGGGCCTTCCTCATCATAAGCTTTTTAGTTTATGAATGTAGTGCCTGTGTTGATCCTAGCATGCGTAATGGAAATTAATGCAAAAGATGGCTACAGGCACATCTCAAAAATAAGCAAATGCTATAATCCTAAAGTGTCTTTTATAAGAAGCAGCTGGAAACATGTAAGATACTCTGATTTTGGGAAATTGTTGTCAACAGGCAGTTCTTGAACTGCAAGTTTACTGTTCCTGCCAAATGGTTTTGGCTTCAATATTTGACCTACACAATGCATAAAATATTTTCCAATAAGCTAAAGCTAAAACCTATTAGCTATTTTCAGTGGTCAATGCCAACAGAAGATGTTACAAGTAACTCCACTTGGCCATCTTGCATAGTAGACAATTTAAAGCAGTCAAATGAATGATACATTTATACGAGTGACCTTCCTTTGATTGTCAAGCCAAGAAGAAGGGTAATACCTGAAACTTTTGACTTCTCCTTTCCTCCAGATGCTGTCTGGCTTGCTGTGTTCTTCCAGCCTCCTATTTGTCTAAGCTCATTCTAAACCTTGCTTGCTGTTACCTGCGGGCCTGTTCATATTTGCAGTCTCAACTCATTATACAACAAAGCTGCTTTATTTCTCCATTTTAGATGCATAATAAATTCTTCTGAACTGATAGTAATGAAGCCATTTCTGTGTCTAACACAAAGTAGAATTGAAAGTATCCAATTGATCCTAGGATCAATAATGTAATTAGTGCCTGGAACTGACCCTGTGTATTGTGGCTGCTGCAAGAACAAAGGCTGTCAGCTGGGACATTGTCCTGTGAAAATGGATCTCAACTCTAGATATTTCATCTTCTATTTGAACTACAGCAAAAACACTGCTTCTGTTGGTGTTCTGTGGCTTGCACTATAGTAAAATATTGTGGTAACTTCCCCTCTTTAGCTACCAGTCATTTAATACAGAACTAGGCACATGTATCAAAGTATGTATGCACTAAAGCATACTGAAATTTCTTCAGAGATAGTAGGAACTGCTGATGCTGGAGAATCTGAGATAACAAGGTGTAGAGCTGGATGAACACAGCAGGCCAAGTAGCATCAGAGAAGCAGGAAAGCTGACATTTCGGGTCTGGACCCTTCAGAAATGGGGAAGGGGAAGGGGAAGGGGATTCTTGGTATGTTTTATCACAGATTTGAAAATTGTTATGTCAGTACATGAGTCTATCCTTATTCAAGTTACAAGATTTTCCACACTAATTTTCTCAAATCAGATGTTGCTCACAGTTTTTGGATGTTTGATCAGGCAGGAGCTATTACATCATGTGGGATACATAATCCTCCTCATGTGGATCTTTCAGACCAGAAAGTATGTTCGTGTGTGTCCACGTGTCATGTGTCTGAACAGGTTGATTACAAGTAATGTAGAATGTACTTGTGCATTTTGATCTGAAGCTCACGCATCTTGTATGTTAAAGAATATAGCACTGTATTTAACAACCAAGAGCGAAATGTCTACTTCTTATGCTAAGAATTTTTCAGTTACATGGGTTACAAGTGACTTGTGTTTCACAAGTATTTTGAGGCAAGTGATATTTGTGCTCATCCTTTCTGGAAGTGCTAGTTGATTTGCAGTGAGGTTAACAGAGCATTTGGGATGTTGGTGAACAGCAGGGCTAATAATCTTGTCTCCTTAATTAATGCAACAATTACAACGGTTAAGGAATTGGCAGTTTAGCACTCGATCATGTGCAAGAAAGTGTAATTTTTGCTGAAGGAACATAGTGCACACTCCTATGTGTAGGACAGCCTCCTGCCAATTGCAGATGCTGCCTATTTCAACCCCCATTCTAGTAGGTGCATTCTTGTTTTGGAATGATTTCCATGACCTTTTTTTGTTTTGGTGCTGTTAAGTTACTACTGCATTAGCAGTGTGCCAGACTCTAGTTTGTTTCAAAGCTTTCACCACTGCCTGAGTTTTTTATGATGCTGTACAGTGCAATTGTTGGTTGTTGATAGCTCTGACTTGCAGTAACTGGCTGAGATGCACAGCTTTCAACCTATATGCATCTGACTGACCTTTACTTATTCAGCCGGCTTGTCGTCTCCCAGACGAGTCCCCCCGGCCCCAGCATCTGTCTTAAAATGGGAGACCCCTTAATTTTAAACTGTTCCCCCTACTTCCAGTCTCCCCAAGGGGAACCAACGTCTCCACATCCACATTGGCAATTCCCCTAAGGATTTTACATATTTCAGTAATTTGTTCTTCAAATTACATTGCTGTAGGCCCAGCCTTTCCTCGCAAGAGAACATTTTCATCCCTGGACTCGGTCAAGCCAATCTTTCTCAATAAAGGAACAACCTGTACATAGTTCTTCAGTGCACTAGAAGAACACTTCTGGGCCTACTGCCATAAAACTTCTGTACTTTTTTATTACTTTCCATTTGCTGAATCACTTGCTGAATCTGCATACTAACTTTGGAATTCAATTACCAGGGTATTCTGATCTCTCTGAACTAGAGTTCTGCAATCTTCATTTAAACAATACTGATTTTTCTATTCATCCTGCAAGTTGGTCATGTTTACATTCTCCCATATTACACTTGTCTGCCAACCATCAGCTTAATTTATAACTTGATTATGATTATCCTTCAACTGAATTGCCAGTCAGTTTCAATTCATAGACTGTAGAAACTTGAATAACTGTCAATTTCTTTGACCATCAAAGAAAAGTTGACATTGCATTCCAGGGCTTTTTTGAGGCTGACTGTAGAGGAACACAAACTATCCAGAGATTTGGGGCATATCTTAATACAAGTTGTAGCATTTTGTTTGCTAATTTTCTTTGTCTGGTAACTGTGTGCACATTTAACTCTCGTTTGCTAGAATACTCTGGGTCTGTTAACTGTCCTGTTGAAAGAGGATTTGGAGATTGAAAGAATCTTGCTCTGTAGGCTCCTTTTTAATCTCCTCTTCACAGCTTGCTTTCCTACCTATCTTTTTGTCATGTAGCAACCGTGCTGTCAATCTTCTTTTTATCCAAATCATTATATCAATTGTAAAGAGTTGATGCCTCAGCACCAGCCCCTGTGCACACCACTCTTGACATTCTACCAGTCTTAAAAAGAAGACCACCATTCCTAGTTTCTGCTTTCTGTTTGCAAGCCAATGCCAACTTTGCCCATTTATCACAAGCTTTTTTTATTTTCTGCAATAACATTTGCTATGAAACCTTATCAGATGCCTCTGGAAATCGAAAAGCAATATGACCTTTATCTACAGTGCAAGTTACTACTTTTGAAGAACTCCAATGAATTTAAACTAAACTAAAACTTGAGAATCTGTTTGGACTAGCTATAATCTTTGCAGTCGCCCTGGTTCAAGTGGACCAATTGGTTTTTCAGGTGAGTGCCATCAAGTATGCTTGCAGGAATTCCTTTTATAGGGCTTAAAGGAGAATCCTGCAATGAAGTAACTTGCATTAAGAAGCTAGATAAAATAAATACACCAATAAACTGAGAATACTGCAAGTGCTAGAAATCTGAAATAAGAACAGGAAATGCTGGAGAAACTCTATAGGTCTGACCATATCTGTGGAGAGAAAAACAGTTAATGTTTTGAGTCCCATAATGACCCTTCTTCATAGCAGGACATCGGCCACCTCTTTGCTTCCCTTACCCACTATAACCACCTCTGATCTTTCTGCATTCCACTTTTTTCTTGCGTCTAACCCAATGCTCCATCCTAGTGAAATGGTTGTGCAGTCACCAGGAAAGCTTCTGCGTAGTAATTGTCATGCTGCTGCGTGACTTCAGCTTCTGGAAGCTGATGCTGCGTGTGGGACTCCAAGGTGCCCACAGAATGAGAAGTTGGAGACAATGTTGCCTTAAACCTGCTGATAAGGTTGGCACAGTTGTTACCAGGTCTGACCAAAATTGAAAATGTTATCAGATTTTTAGAACATTGTTGTATTTATGCGATTTCTTATCAAGTTACAATGTTGAAGTCAAATAATGAAATAAGATAGAATTGTTCAGATTTTTAATTTTCTCTTTCAGGAATTGACTACAAGACCACTACAATCCTGCTGGATGGCAGGCGTGTAAAGCTAGAGCTCTGGTAAGCTTTTAATATTGTTTTTATAATGTGATATTGCTGATGATTGTGGCTATACTGTGTAGGTTTGTTATTTCCAGAATATTGACGAGGGTGTTCAATCTATATCTTCTGTCTTCCCACAGGTATTGGCCACTTAGTTAAATCAAGGAATGAATGCAATGATTAGTTTATCTTTTTCTAGAATCTTTCTTCCTCATAGGGTTATGTGTTTGCTTTCAGTCAAACTAATTCCTAAATGTCTGTCATTATTCATAATCCATATTTTCTGCTAAACACCGTTTTTTCCTAATCCATTCCAGCCAATCCTTATTCAAGTTTAGTACAGTTGTTTCCAGCCCAAATTCTTAACACTCAACCTGAATGTTGCGTTGCAGCATGTTATGGGCACTGTTCCCTAGGGGATCTTTTACTACAAGGACTGAATTAAACCTGCTTCAGTACACATTATCAGATCTAAAACAGCCTAATTCGTGTTTGGATCCACAACATTTTGTTGTAGGGAACTGTCCCAAATATACCTTATCAATTCTTCCTTTAGTTACCTCTGACATTTTGGTTTTTTTTCCCAAGAAGATTAAAGTAACCCATGATTAATGTGCTACTTTTTTAATATGCTGTCATTATCTCCTGATTTTATTCTGTCCTACAGTATTGTTAGTTATTCTGTAAATACTTCCACCAGTGTTGTCTTTCCCTTGTAATTTCGTACTACTTCCTATACATTTTCCACATTATCTGATGCAAGATCATTACTTGTTATCAAACTTAACATCTTGTGCTATCAAAGCTATTCTTTCCTTTTTCTGTCTGTCCATTCACATACCCTTGAATATTCATTTCCCAGCTTTAATCCAGTGTAATCATGATTTCATAATGGCTATAAAATTAAACCCATTAACACCTGTTTAAATCCATTATTTTGTGATAAATACAGCATGAATTTAAGCAAAAATCCAATAATTTAGCCTTTTATAGCACTTTTATCCCTCTCGAACCTGTTTGCAGTTTTTTAATATTCATTCAGTATGTCTTTGCCTGACCCCCACTGTATCCAATCTCCTAGTCTCGGTGTGTCTCTGTCTGTGTAATTATACTGTCCTGCCAGGACTGTTCTTGTTTTCTGCTTGGTTCGTTCATCTTCCCTGCAGTTCCCACTCTCGTGTGCACAGCTTGCAAGAACCTTGTAACTGAGTAATTACAAGGGCCAAGAGGCCAGTTGCATACTGCACCCAAGTCCCTGTAACTGCCTTGTAGTCACACTCTCCTGTCCCTGATCACAGACTAAATTTGAATTACTTAATCAGTCTGAGAGATGCAACTGCCCCTGGGGACAGTGTCCAGGTAGCTTTCCCATTTGTGGCCTAATGTCAGTGGCTAGGACTCCAGCTCCTCACTCATTACTGTGTGACTATCCTTTTTTCTCAAAGATGGCCATGGATTCGGAGAATTCAGTGACAGTGGCTCAGTGGTTAGCACTGTTGCCTTAGTGCCAGGGATCCAGCCTTGGGCGACTGTGTGGTGTTCGCACATTCTTCCTGTGTCTGTATGCTGCCGTTTCCTCCCACAGTCCAAAGCTGCGCAGGTTAGGCAGATTAGCTATGCTGAATTACCCTATAGTGTGCATGCTCAGGTAAATGTGGGATTATGGGGATAGGGTGGATGTACTTTGGAGGGTCAGTGCAGACTCTGTGGACCAAATACCCCCTAAATATGTCAGCTGATATTTAAAATTGTAGAATCCCTACAGTGCAGTTAAAGACCATTAATTGGTACAAATTTGAACTTTCAGAAGTTTGTTTCATGTTGTGCACGTGTATTGTTGGTTGGGAAGACTTTTTTTTTCTATTGAAACACTGCATTTAGAGCTCACATTTCCCAATAGAGTGCAACTCTATTGCTGACAGGAGGTGGTGCTACTATTATTACTATTATTACTATTATTACTATTATTACTATTATTA